TATTCCATCATATTCTCAACCAATTTCTGAAAACACCTACAATACATCTAACTCTATAGAAATAGATTTTGATATAAAACTCTTCAAATCTCTTAAAAGCCTCTCAAGATTCAAATTCCAACTAATACATGAAATTACTCACTCATTTCCTACCTTCTGTAATAATATTAGAAAAACTTTTACAAATCCAATCTCTTTTAAACTATTTTCACATTATGCATATACATGCATTATATGCAAAATCAAGAATATATTATGTATTATTCTTAAAGACATAAACACTTACTTGATCCACAAGCTCTAACCTTTGTAACTAGTAAAGGAAGCTTTTCTGCTTATACACATTGCATTAATCTTCTTAAACTTAAATACTCAACTCCTTTAACATCTATGAACTGGAAACAATACAATTTATACTGTAAAATTAAATGTTGGCAATTATTAGCAGAAAATAAACATATACTTTTTAAGAAATTTCTCCAAAAACTACCTAAAAAAAACCAAAACTACAAATGAATCTAAGGATAATAGTCAAACTAAAAACAACAAAATACAAAAAACACCAAATAATAATGACTTAAAACAAAAAGATAAACAAAAAAATGAAAAAGAAACTATACAAAAATGTGATATAACAAATGACATTGACTGGTTCTTGAATTATCCTATTACTCCTAAAATGCAACAACATAGCAAATTAAGTACACCTTTAGTCTTAAAAGTTTTTTCACTCCTAAAATTATATCTTGTAAATTTAAATTTTGAACAAGAAATTCCTACTGATTCAACTGATTCAAAACCTAGCAATAGACCTTCTGTTAAATACTCATTTAACTACATATTTAACAAAATGGCTAATAGCAATCTAAGTTTCTAACAGACTTTATCCTTGAAGCTAATTCTGAGTTCGATTAATCAAATCTCATTCTTTTCAAAGTTTTAGTTGAAACTCTTAAAGGCTTAGTTGCAAAATTTATAACAGTACTTTTTACTTAACTCAACTATAAACATCTTTTAATTACATTATTCTATTTCATCATATTTAACAAACAACAGAAAAAAAGTTGCCATTAACATGGCCTGTCTATACTTATATCTAAATTATACTTACAAAACTATTTAACTTTGAAAAATTTATGAAAAAACTTGACATCAAACCTCTACATTTTACCTTAAATTTTGATATAGATTATACTGCAGATAAGCTATTATTTAATATCCAAAATGATAATAGATTTAATATTAAAGTTATATTAAACATTCTTGCCAAAAAATTTGAAGATGACTTCAAAATTCCCTTACTTAAACCCTATATCCAAACCTATAAAACCTGGTTTCAAAAATTTTTTGATAAATACAAAATTCAATTTGAAAAAATTGATCAACAAAAAACAAACAACTACATCAAAATGCTAATATCTCAAAAACTTGTCAAAGACTGCAAGAAACTTTTACCAGAAACTTACTCTCTTCCAAATACCTTATCTTTACTTCAAGAATGTTCTAAAACTACTTTCAAAGCAGCATTTCATCACTTTCATAAATGTTATAACAAATCATTTAACTTACTTTCAGATAATACAGAACACAAGCTCAAAAACATTTTCCAATATTACTTCTCTCAATTATTCAAATCTCATCCAATACTAGAATCTAATTTAAAAGAATAGAAATACCCTCTTTTAGAAACCAAATTATTCCAACTTAATTAACAACTAGTAGCAACTTTCTCAAAACCAATACCTATAACTGAATTAAGAAAATTAGCTACATTTACTAAGGAAAACTTCATATTACTTAACAATATTAATAGTAAAGTAGCCCAAACAACTACTATTTTTACTAATATCTAAAAAAATATTTACAAACAGTAGCCAAAAATAATGGAATTTAAGAGTTATAAAAAGAGAAAGCTCTTGAAAAAATTATTAATTCTACTACTGATACACATATCCTAGCTTGCATAATCACCTACTATAAAATTCGATCTCAATTCAAAGTTTCTCTTAAACAAACTAGAATCGACTATGACAAAACTTACTATTCAAAAGCTAAAAATTTTATAATAAAACATCTTAATATTTCTATTCCTACTTAATACAATGATATGCTCTTTATGCAAAACTAAATGAACCTAAAGCTGAAAAAGAAAATCCAACTCCAACTACTACTCAGGATAATAATCTTAACAACTCCACTTCTTAAAAAGAAACAGTTGACAACTTCACACAAGACCAAGAAACTTTTTTTCAATAAGTTCTTCTACAGAAAACATTAAAGCAACTGCCACTTCTAAGATTATGATGTCCTTCACATTAGTAGGCTATTCTTAAAAGAAAATGATGACAGTAGATGGGCAGTAAAGCCTTTTGTACTGAAGGACCAGAATTATGATGACCAGACCCAATATACAGGGCAGGTTATGGTATCCTCTACAGCTGTGCAAGTTAAGCTTAACATGGTAAGCAAATCTGTAGAAGATATTACAAATACTATCTCTATTTTCAATGCTTCAACCCCTACAGAGATAGACAAATGCTACAACAAATTTACAAAATACCACAACTTACCTCAAATACTGGAACCAGTCATACTTGACAATTTTATTTAACACTTACATGACAATCTTTATCCTAGTTCGATAAAAATATCTATAAACCTTAACAAAACAGAAACACATATCTACTTAAATGATATAGATCAAACATTATCAAACCATATTACAATAGATCCTTCTCTTTACAAATCATATAGCCACCTACCTTTACTATCTAGTCTCAACTAGAAAATACCTAATACAAATTCTACCTCCTTTTCCATATCTGATTAATTACCTAATCCAAACACTTCTATACCATCTTTAACCACCTTATTATTAACTTCATCTGAACATACTTCTCTTTCAATTAAAATTAGTTTAATAAATATTAATAGTCTCTTATAAGCAAATAAAAAACTTGCTTTAACTGAACTTTTACAAAAAAAAATTTTATAATTTTTGGACTTTTTAAAACACATTTATTATTCAAAGAAGGCAAATTCTTAAGCAATCAAATTCAAAACTATGTTAGTTTTTGGAGCTTATATACAAACTCTCATCAAGCTGGAGTTGGAATTTTTGTTCATCAAAAAATCTTCAATATATCACTAAGTCTTATAATTTTAATGAACATATAATTGGTCTTGATTTTTATTTCAAAAATATGTTAATCAGGCTTATTCAAATATACTTCTCAACTTACGAAAAAAACAACTTTACAAAAAAATCCAAGATTATTTAATTTTCCTTATTTAAAATAACAAATACAAATTAATTATTATGAAAGACCCAAACAATATACCAAATTTAAGAATTAACAGATTGCCTTCAAAAAAATCATCAATTCCTGAAAGTCAAATTATTCAATATCTAATCAGTTTTAAATTCAAAGATATCTTCTGAGTTTTCTATCCAAACACTTATAATTTTACTTTTAGTTGTAACAATATACAAAGCTGAATTGATCAAATTTGCATCAACTTATCTATTACTAATATTAATTATACAAAAATCTTTATGTCTGACATAATTGAATCAAATTACTACATTATAACTCTAAAAATCTCTGATATAATTAATAAGCCTAAACCTCATAAACAACACAAACACAAAGTCTTTCTCTGAAAAAATTACACTAAAGAAAATTTTGAAATCTATACTGACCAAATAACCAAAAATCTTTAACATTTAGGGCTAAAATCTTATCAATTGCAAATTAAAATCAACTTAATACTATGTGTGGAATAAAATTTACAAAGCATTAATTAAAGCTTCAACCAAACATATTTCTTTTAAAAAAATTAAAATAATCAAAGAAATCAAAAGACTCACCTTTATCAAAACACTCTTTACTTTATTTCTACTATAAAGAAATACAATTTCTTAAAAATCACATGGACTCAATTAACTTTAATACACTACTTTTCAAATATCAAACTAAATACCTAGACTGCTCTTTTCAAACACTTCTACCCTCCCTAGTCCAAGTTAAAGAAGAATTTCAACTTATTAAAACTGCACTTAATTACCAATATCAACAATTTATATATGATAAAATCAAAGAAAAAATAAAAGATCAAAACAAATCATTTAAAGAAACACCTAAACTTTTTTATAAAAAAATATTTGAAAAATACAACAATATTCATATTGATAGATTATTTCTTAACAACAATTTTTTTACAGAACATAACGAAATTCTTAATGCAATTAAACATTACTTCACTGAGTATTTTAAAACCAATTCTTTTAAAACTATTTCATCATTATCCAAATACTTCACATTATATAAACCACATCCTGAATTTAAAATTCATTATTAAAATCTCACTCATGATATATCTGAACAAGAATAACAAAACCTAATCCCTAACCTACCTAATCAAAAAGCAGTAGAACCTCTCAAAACCTACTATGATACATAAAATTTTCTAGCTCCCTAGAAAAAAAGTTTGTCAAATAAATATTCTAAAATTGTTCTAGAATTGTTTAATTATATTTTCAGTTTTTTGTTAAGTTTCTATTAAGTATTTGTTCAGTTTTTATTCAAAAAAATGTTCAAAATGAAGTCGATTTCTTAAACAATTTTTTGAACAATAATTTATATGATTTTTGTACAAAATTATTATATATTACAATAGATATTGTTTAATTTTTAGTAAATCATTGAGTTATAAATATGCATTATCTATTATAAATTTATATAAAATGTATTCAATAAATATTCTATTGTTGTCACAATAATTTGCTTACATTATCATTATTTTATTCATTTTTTGCAAATTATTAAATACATGCAAATAAATTACTAATTTAATATCGCATATGCATACTACATATATTACTATACAATTATTTTCCTGAAAAAAAATTAAATTTCAATTTTTAAAATATACTTCAACTATTATATATACAATTATATCATACCTTTGGTCTTGGCTTTGTTAGATACTTTCAAAGGTCACTTTTTAGCATTATTTTTAATGTTTGAAGCTTCTGTAGTCTCATTAACAAGATCATTACTTCGGGTTTTAGCTTCTGTAGCTTTCTTAACAGGATTGTTGCTTTGGGTTTTAGTATGAATTCTATTAAATAATAATGATGTAAATTAAAGTAATCAATATTATAATAAAATAATTAGTCTTTTGAATATTCATAACCATTACAGTATATTAACATACTTGGAACGTAACATGTGACTGTAACCAGAATTTTGGAACTTTTTACTTGGTGTCTCTGATGCTTTATTGGTATAATCTGAACTGATGTCTTGAACTTCATTGGCATTTGGTTGTTGAAGAGTAGTTAATGGAATGCGGGAGACAGAAGTTGTACCAGAATCAGTAATCGACCTTGTATGATTTTCTGGACTTGGAGTTCTAGTAACTTCTAAAGGATGATCATCATTGATAATCTGAATAAAACAAAAATTAATAATAGCAACATTTATATTAATAATTTATTATAATCTACTTACACTAGTTTTAAGGCTAGATACGAATTTTTCAAGGGATTCATGCATTCTAGTAGAAAAATCTTTATTTATAAAAAAAAAGTAAGTTTATAAAAAATAATAATAAATAATACGTTATACCTTTATTATTATTTTTTTTGCTGTTGTAAGATAAATGACTATTCATCTTGCGTTTTTCTGTATCACCTACTTGAAGGATAAGCCAATTAAATTTTTATAGTTTCATATAATATTACTTATTTACTAGTCAAGATTAAAATTTTGACATATTAAATAGCAGTTGAAGCGTACTATTTAACATAGTAAACATTTTAATTTTGACTAATGCATATGAATGTTTATTGTTAATTATTCCTCTTATCATCTGTCTAATAGCCCAGTTACAAGCTGTAAGAGGAAACCTTGGATTTTTGCATTTAAACTAACAGAATACTTGGGTTTATTATTTTGAAAAAATATCAATAAAACAATTGAACTACAGATCTTACTTACGCTTCTAATAATTTCATTTTTTTCATTTTCTGATATTTTGCGATATTTGGAAACACTCTTCTCATATTTAGCTGTTATCATTAAACGAAGTAATTCCTAGAATAATAATTTAAATAAATTAATTAAACTATAAATTAAAATAAATAAAAGATTAATGAAAACACAAATAATAATATTATCACCCAATAACTATTATATATAGGCTTATCGATCTTAAGAAATTTAGAAATATTAATATACGTTGCCTCACTTGGTTTTTCAATTGGCACTAGCTTTTGAATCATAAAAACAGTCTTTTAGAATTATGTAATAGTAAAATCACCCAAAGTTATTAAATACATACAATAGAATCTTCATTACTAGTACTCTCCGTTCCTGAACTGGAACCATTCTTGTGATTTCTCTTATTAGTTTTGGAGTTTTTTTTCCTTTGTTTTTTTTTAGATATGTTGTTATTGTGTCATCCGGAATGGGCTCAATTCTTCGATTGTTAATTTTATTATTAGTAGCTTAGAGTTTCTCCAAAGTTTCTAATCGTTTAAGTAAAGCTGGAAGTTGATTTGTTTCTGAAAGCAGATTATCTTCAATACTAGAATTTTGCTCGCTTTTGTCTGTTTCAGACTCTAAAATAGACCGAGTTATATCTTCTCCATCGCTTGCATTTGCACTGTTATTATTTGCATATATTCTTTTTTATGATTACGAGTTATTGTTGCAGAGATAAATAATATGTTATGGTCTATTTCAGAAATATGGTAGGTAGATTTTTTTAATAATGGACTTTCAATTAATTAACTTCAACGAACACTTTCTATAACACCAACTTGTTTGTCAAATCACAGAGCCCAAATAAAAAATGTATCCTTTAAGCAAAAAATGACGAATTTGAAGAGGTCTTATTCCTGAGAAGCAAGAATTAGCCAAGGTTTAAATGAAACATACTAAAGCTAAAGAAACCATTCAACTAACTTTATATGTATCAGTTATTTGATGATAAAGGTATGTATTTATCTTGTATTTATCTTATTCTTTTTTTTAAATTAGAAAAAGAAATTTACTAATCATTATTTTCTCTTTTCTTTTATTCAAATACATATTGACTACTGTACTGTTAATCTGATGTATTTTATATATTGATTAATAAATATGATAATATGCATTAAAAAAATAAACTCTGCATGCATAAACTCTTGATTAACCTGATTTAGCCTGATTTAACTGATAATTATGTTACAACCTACCAATAAGAACTACAGTATACCTATTGGTTAAATCAGATGGAGCTAATGCATGCAGAGTCTATTTTTTTGCAGTAATCAAAATTGAATAAAAAAATCGATTTTTTTTTTTTTTTTTTTTTTAAAGTAGTAAATCGAATATGTGCCTTGCCATACTATATTAATAAAAAGTTGACTGTAGGTGTTGGTTGAGATTGATTAAAGAGGGTGTCATTAGTAAGTAGGATTGATACAGGGTTATAATTACAAAGCTATGATTTATTTTAATTTTAAATCAAAAAGGGTGTTTGAGTCTTGAGCATCTTTGTTTTAAGAAGCAGAAGATTAATATCAAAATCCTAAGCTAAACATATAGCATTAGAATCTTTTTTTTTTAAATAATCAGGTTAGTTTTATATTAATTTATATATACCGTAATGTATACCATATATAGATATTTTGTTAATTTATATTTATAATTTTTTTCAATAGAAATTTGTTAAAAAAAATAATGCCTGAAACCTTGGTTTGGTGTACTTGCAGTATCTGCTTGCTGAATGATGATGGTGGTTCTTGGAAACTAAAAAGTGCCAGAGTTAGACATCGAAATTGTGATAAACGAAATGCACTAAGTTCTAATAGTGATTCAGAATTGCAAAGCAGTATTCAGAAGCAAAATTCATGTAACTTTTACCAAGAGACATTTGAGCATGAACTTTATAACATTGAATACGTTAGTGAATTTGATAATGAGTTAAGAAACAATGATAGGTTGAAAAGTACGAACAAATTTGAGAATTGGTTAGGAAAAAATAATGAATTTGAAAGATTTGAAAGTATTGATGAATCTGAATATGAGTTGGAAAATAATATCGAATTTGGATATAAATTAGGAAATAGTGATGAAAATGAGTGGGAAAACAATATTAATTTTGAAGACTGTTTAGAAATTGATAAGGAATTTGAGAATTGGTCAGAAAGTGAGAGTAGTAGAAGTAACGATTCATGTATAACCAATATGACTTTTGCAGATTATGAAGGTAATATTTTAATTATAACATCTATTTCAATAATAATAAATAAATAAATATGATTAAAATCATTGATTAAATTTAAATATACATCAAAAAAAAATAACAATAAAATTTTAAAATTTTGTTTTACTAAATAGAACTTTTTATATCCTTTGAACTTGCTTCTATGATTCGACTCTTTAAAATTAAAGTACAACATAACCTTACCAATGAAGCATTTTATGAAATTATGAATGCTACAATAGCGAAGCCAATGAGCTTGTAATTAATTAAACAAAAGTTATCATCATTTATTCCATTTAAGCCTACATGGATAGACATGTGTATTAATTTATGTTGTGCTTATACGGGTGATTTTAAAAATCTCAATGAATGTCCTTATTGTAAAAAAGTATGATATCAAAATAGAATTTATAAAAGCAAAAAACGTAAAGCACATCGTCAGTTTCCATATTTTCCAATTGTTAACTATCTCATATTTTAATATCAGGATAAAACTCAATCAAAAAATTTACACTATCATGCAGAATATACTTCAAGGCCAGAATACTATAATACTGAAGTAATCGGAGACATATATGATGATCAAAGATATAAAAACCTTGTGAAAAAAGGATATTTCAAAGAAGACCTTGATGTTGCATTATTAGCATCAATTAATGGCTTTCAGATTTTTAAACAAAAAATGGATAATTGCTGAATTTTATTATTTATAAATGCTAATCTACCTCCAGATCAATGTGTAAAAAAAGAAAACCTTCTCATATCTACGACTATACCTGGGCCTAAAGCACCAAAAGATCTAAATTCTTTCTTATCACCCACTGTTGCAGAATTATGTCTATTAGAAGAAGGAATAGAATGTCCCAATATTCAATATGATGTATATTAATATTGCATAAATGTGTACTTTCTTGGTCTGGTGACACATCAGCACTTACAAAGTTAATGGGTTTAATGGGACACAATTCATATAAAGGATGTTGCTACTGTAATATAAATGGTGTTTATTATTCACATGTGTATTATCCTACCAAACCACCCAGAGGTCAAGGTGAAATTTATGATCCGGCAAACTTACCACTTAGATCTCACAATGAGTATAGAAGTCAAATCCAGGAAATTCAAAATGCGCCAACAATATTAGAGCAAAATCATGCGATTAGACATTATAGAATTTTTTCTAAAACAAGCATTTTATTTAATCTCAGATCTACTAGCTTTCCAGAAACATTTCCAGTAGATATTATGCATCTATTTTATGAAAATATTGCTGTTTACATGCTTGCTTATTGGATGGGATCATTTTTTACTAATAATGATCAAAACAATGATGAATATATTTTATCTAAAGAAACATGAAATAAAATTGGAAGCAAAATGGAATCAGTTAAAAAAACAATATCATTAAATCTTGGCTGTTCATTGCAAAATATTGTTTTACATCACAATGGTTATAAAGCAGAAGAATGGTCGAATTGGATCACAATATACTCATTACCATTTCTTAAAAATAGACTGCCAAAAAAGTATTATAAGGGCTGGGGATTGTTTGTAAAAGCAGTTCGATTATGTCAAAAGCAAATAATAACTCATAATGATTTAAATAAAATTAAATCATATTTATTAGCTTTTTATTCACATTATGAGAAAGAATATTACTGTGGGCTTTTAGAGTGTCTAAGTGCAATGAAAATGTGCATACATTATATGTTACATGTATCTGCAAGTATTTTACAAACAGGTCCTTGTTGTATGATATGGCAGTATTTGATAGAATGTGTATGTAGAATGTTACTTCCATTAATAAAATCGAAGCTTCATCCTTACAAAAATCTTTCTAATAACATTCAGTTAAATGAAATATTTAATTGCTTAAAATTTAATCAAGTAATTTATAATCAAATTTTTTTCTTAAGTCCATCTAAGATCTACAATGAACATCTTGCTTATACCGAAGAAAGTGATCAAGATTTTTATTTTCCCTCAACCAATTACAAGTTATCACAAAGTGAATTAAGAAAAATTAAACAACATTTCTCTACTATATCAGATGTATCAGGTTTACAACTTATATCATTTAGTTTTGAAGGAACAAAATATGGATGGCTTAGAACAAAAGATGGTCATTATATTGGATCTAAATGGATTCATCGAAATGAAGATTGGTCATGAATTAATTATACCATTATGGTAAAAATTGAAGTTGATATTTATGCAAATTATCGAAACAGACTATCAGTATTTAAAATTCAAGATTTTTATGCTGTTGTTGAATATTATTTATTATATGAATTTGAAGAGTCTAAAGCAATGTTAGCTTATATTCAATGGACGTCTCATATTGAAGATGATGATATTGGTGTAAAAATGTTTAAGTGATTAGGAGCATATGCATTCATTAATGCGTCAGCAATTGATCACTGTGTTGGGTTTATTGAGATTGGAAATTTATTTTATATAATAGATAAAGAAGTTGACAATGAACAATAATATTTCTTTAAAAAATTATATTTTTTTATTTGTACTATATTATATAGTATATAATCAATGTAATAAATGCAATTAAATATAAGTTAATAATACTATTTTTGTTCATTTACTGTACAATTACAATATAATTTTTGTAATATAGTAGTTATTATAGTTACTAATATAATAAAGCAAAAAATACTGTGCAGTTTTTATACAAATTATATAATAAAATAACTGGACAATTTTGTTAATATAAATCATTGTATGATTATTCCATATGATTATTAAATAATTATTGAACAAATTTATAAAACTGTATAATTTTTATACAATTGTCAATAACTTTATAAATTTTGGTTTTTACATACCAGTACAAATACTGTATGATATTGCTTCTATTTCGAATGAAAACTGTATAAAGGCTAACAAAACTATAATATATTTAGGACAAACTTTTTTTATAGGGGCTCCAAAGCACAAAACATCTTTCAACTCTTTCTAAACAAATGCTTTCAACTGCAGAAAATTCTCTCATACTGGAAATTTTCTAACATTTTCTTAATTTTTAAAAAATTAAACTAGGACTATACACTAAATCAAGTATGACCAATCTCAATAATAGAACCTTTTAAAAAAGTTTTTACTAAAATATTTACAAACTGACTAGATAATATTATTTCAAGTCACAATCTCTTATAAAATTTAAACTTTGCAACTATCAAAAACTTCTCGACTTATTTTTTTATACAAATCTTATAAATACAATTGAACATTACAAAGTTAATAATAAAGAAGTCTGAATTCTCTTTCAAGATATGCTAAGGTTTTTGATAAAATTAATATATCAAGGCTTCAGAACACATGCAAAAGAATAGAAATTCCTTTAACAGAATTTAACCTTATTACTGAGCTACACTCTCATCACTTTGCCAGGATTATTATTGCTTATAGTCTTATTTTTTCAATACTAATCAACTCTGGTATTGAACAAGATAAAACATACTCACCATTATTATAGAAAATTTATTATGAATCTATACTCTCTTTTATTCACAAAAAATACAAAAACCATTTACTCAAAATTTCATACCAATCTCTATTGATATCATAACAAATACAACACTCTCTTTAATAATAATTCCACTATTAGTCTTCATAGATGATACTACCTGGCATTGTAAAACTACTAATATAATGCAAAACATTATAAATAATACTTCTATATTATATAAACTTAATAATATAGAAATCAATGCTTCCAAATCTGATCTTCTTCATATTAAATTCAAATTTATATTAAACTCAACTTCTTCTCTTACAATGAGCAACAAATTATTCTTCCTAGAAAACCTCAAGATGTTATATGCTATTTTGATATTTTTTATGATGCTGAAGGTTTCTTTACACCAACTCTTAATCAAATTCAAAATAAAATTAAAAACTTTCTTATTTTTATTTGATACAAAAAATAATACCCTTACAAATTTCAGCATTTTTTAATCTAATTTTCAATCTTCTTTAGAATATCTGCTTCAAATTACTTTAATTCATGCAAATACACAATCTAAATTTACTTATCTATTTATTATTCATACCAAAAAAATGCTATCACTAGCCAAAAACACTAATAATATAATGCTTACTAATTTACTTACTTTTAACCTACCATCCTTCAATAATATTATTCAAAAAGTTAGTGCATCTAATACCAAATATATTTTTAATACACTACCAATTCTCAAAAACATTAGTATACAATGAATTAAAGGCTGGCTAACTAAAATATAGTCTCCTCATCTTTCAACTAATATCTTAATTAACTATCATTATAAAACACAAAACTATACTTTACTCTTTCATCTTTCTCAACTTGCTTTAAATAATATCTCTCTTACAATTAATTCACAAATTTCTTTTTATCCTTTATTAATACCAAAAAACTCTCATATTATCTATGATATTCTTCTTCTTAACCCATCTATTACTACTATCAATAGTCTTAGAAACAACAAAATTATTTTCTTAGAACAAATTACAACTGCAGATAACAAAAATATTCTTTCATGAAACAATATATATTTACACACAAATAAATCAACTAAAGGCCATCAACCACAATGGTTCACCCAAATTTTATAACTAAATTAATCTAATTCTATCAATATAACTTGACCTACTCTAAATCTACCTTCTACAAATCTTTTTCTTAACACAACCAAATTAATATCACTACACTCATTTTCAAATTCTTTCTTCTTTTATCAACTTTATTATACAAATTATCAACCATTTTATATCTCTCATCAAACCACTCTTCAATAACCTTCTTTTTTCAAAATTTCTTCATCCAGTTTAGGTCTTTTACAGCTTCTCTCAACCTCTGATTACTCTATACCAAACTACTATTTCTTCTATTTACCTTACAATCTAACCAACAAATCAAATAACTAAACAATTATTCAAATTGATTTTAGAGAAATTTTAGCTTTAATCAATATACATAATTCTACTTTCTCTCAACCACCTTCTTTATTACAACCAAAATAATTTTATCATCCTATGATGCTCAACTCATTCAACAACTCATCTATTTATTAATATATCAAAAACAATTAACTGATCTTAACTATCTTATTTTCCAACTCGATACAAATAAACTACATTTCTATACCAATGGATCAATCAAAAATCTTCAAACTTCAGACATAAAATTTGGTATAGGATGGATTTGCAAATACAATACATCAATAAAATTCAATGCAGCTATACAATCCTATCCTAACTCAACTTATATTGAACTTGAAGCAGTTTTTTATATTTTACTTGCAGCTTCATCTAACACCTCTTTAAATATCTATATCAATAACACAACTGCTATTAAAAATCTTGAACAACCTATCACTCCCAAACCTATACAAACTAAAAACTGAGATATCATCCACTATATTAACTATCTTAAACATTTTAAAAACATTACTACCACTTTTCATAAAGTCAAATCACATTCTATAGACTCATTTTACAACCAAGCAGATTCACTTGCTAAATAAGGAACCTTAAAATCTATTATTAAGCTTAATATCTTAAAATTCAGTACTCCAAATCACTTTCTATGAAACAATCTTCTAATTCTCTTTAAAGTATACACTTTTATTAAAAACATTATAACTATTTAAGAAACTGCTAAATAGTCAAATTTAAAATTTCTTCAAAATATTACTAACATTAAATAGTCTCTTCTATTCAAAATTATCTCTTCTCTTAAAGATAATTTACAAAAATACTCCTTTTATATTAAAATTCTTACCAATAACTTATCAACTATGCAAAACCTTAATATTTGCTATCTCTACCTTATTGTTCCTGCTATACAAACATTAAAAATACTCTTCATTTGTTTTCATATCCTAGCAATACTACAAATATTCTTTTTTTTTTTTAAAAAAAAATATTAATGGTAAGGCCATGCCTTTAACTTTATTAAAATTCAATTGAAGTTTTTACAAAGAAAAGCTTGCTTTTAAATTACATAT